ACAAGTACAAGTACAAGTACAAGTAGTAGTAGTAGTAGTAGTAGTAGTAGTAGTAGTGGTAGTGGTAGTACTGACTAAATTAATTACATTTTAATAATTGAAAATTAATTAATATATAACACACACAAGACTCAAAGTTAAATTAACTGCTGCCAGTGGCAGTTACCAGTAAGTATGCGCGGCCCCAGACTAGGCCAGTGTGGACTCGGCACACCACAATGGACAACGATGTGCCAAAACAACAACGACTGCTGCTGCTGAAAAACTCACTGACTCAGATGCTCGGGGCATTGGCACGCCGCAAGGACCAGGATGCGCCACAACGACAGCGACTGCTGGTCGAAGCTCACGCGTCCAGCTCGGGCTCCCAGGGATCCTCCTCCATGTCCTCTTTCGGCTGGAGCTCCAGCAGCACGTCGCCGAAGAACTTTTTGATCGACACCGACAGCTCCGTCGAGTGGAGGGAGGACCCCTCCGTTGCGATGAGTCCGCATGCCGCGCGATCGGCTATCGCAGCGAGCCATTGCATGTGCTGCTTGTTTTTGCACATGCCATAATAGCTTACTCCGCGAGAAAGGGCGGCCTCGAGCAACCCGCCCGATCCAGGCGACAAGTCGAAGATCGCTGCGATCTTCAGCTCGTCGAGGAAGCTGGTCCAGAATGCAATCGACTTGCCTTCCTGCCAGAAGCACGGGATGGCCGCCCCGTGCTTCTCCACCCAGTCCTCTGGCGGCTCTGCGACATCGACATCGAGAACGAGTTTTTTGGCGCTGAGTGCTATGAGGGGCAACTCAGCGCTCTGCCGGAACTTCACACTCGACCACGTGGTCTGGAAAGTCGTGCTTTCTCCGGTCGTGCAGAAGTTCTCCCGCGGCTGCACCTTGATGCGGGTACGTGCCGTCGGCATTCGGAGACACATAGACTCCACCTTGCGACAGCCCATGAAGACCCGTCTGGCACGGCCCGCCCTCGCGGGGCATCCACCCTCATAGATGATCCACCCCTGCTCCGACTGCGACAGCGAGAGGAACGTGTCCTCCTGGGATGCCCAAGTTTAAGGAAGCTGCAGGAATAAGTGACTAAATTAAATTGGTTTTAAATAAGTAAGTACCCAACGAAATAAACTTAGAAATGAATAGCTTGGCATTGATGCTTACAGGGCAGCCAGGGGACCATGATGCGTCGAGCCTCACGCAGGCGGCCATCCAGCACCACGCCGAAGTCGGCAGCACCTGTGCAGCCGGCGACAAACTCACACATCTGCTTGAAGATCTCCTTGTCCGGATTGGAGGGAGTCGCCCATGGCTCACTGCCAGACTCCGACAGCAAATCTGCCGAAGCGACGATGAGTCGGTGCTGGGAATTCAGAGTTCCAGAGAAAGAGAACACTTTCCCAGCATTTCGGAAAGCTTCAGCAAAGTTGTCTTTCGTGCTGGCGGCTTTGGCGAAGCCCAATCCGATGACCTTCTTCCTTTCCGCCTGCACCAGGCGCCACACTCGCTCCCTTTCGGCTTTGGTAGCTTCATCATCTTCTCCTCCTTTCTCACCAAGCGAGGCCATGAAGCTAGGAGCTGGGGCTGCACCAGTCGCCGACAACGACACCGACTTTGCACTTGCAGTCACCTCAAAGTTTTGGATGACGACAACGAGTGCTTTCATCATGCCAGAAAGACTTTCTTTCTCCTTGCTGCTGGCTCCCACTGCGTCCTGGACATGCTTGCCGACCGTGGTCGAGTCGCCCTGCTTGGCCAAGTCCTTGCAGTCTGCGAAGTACCTGCCACGAGCAAGGTCCAGGAGGAACTCGAAGACGGCACCTGTCGCGCGATTGAACTTGCCTTTCAAGGATTCAAGCGCGGTCGCCTGCTGCAGCTCCTCTTGCGGCATCTCCTCGTCATCCTCAGTGATGAGGTTGCTCTCCTCCGCGTCCTGCTGCTGCTTCGTAGGCTGCAGGTACATCTCCCANNCTCATCCACGTGGCCCGCTGCATTTTTCGCGTCAGCCTCTGGCAGCTTTGCAAGGAGCGCCTTCGAGATCTCGAAAAGCTGGCAGGGGTCAGAAATTAATTAATTAATAACATTGTTCTGGCAGTCTGGCTGCTACACACTTAGTCTTAGCAGTTTCATTGACACCTACCCTACGTAAGCCTAAACCCTAAACCCGGGACCCTAAACATTGACATTGAATTAACTACGTTACTAACCGCAACTTGCGAGACCCGGCCTCCTTGACCACCAGCTGGCACGGCCAGTAGCCAGCCGTGTTGTGTCGGCGGTCTCTGTCCAACCAGGCCTCCGTCGCCTTCGGCGGGGTCGTGAGCCGGAGCTTCAAAGCAAGGTGGAGGCTCTCCACGAGCCAAGCCGCTGTCTTGTCACAGCCCTTGCTGAGGGAAGTCAGGCGACGCAGCTTGGCATAGGAGTTGCTGAGAAGTTCTCTCCCAAATGCCATTTCCAATTTGCGCAGGGCTTCTGGGAAACGGCTGCCGGGGCCCATTAGCCCCTGCAAGGCTTGGGCGGCGCCGTGCATTGCGGCATTGTAATCAGTGCCGTTGTACTTCAGGCCGAAGCGCTTCGCGTCACTCACTTGCTCCACCTTCAGCTGCTTTATGAGCTCGGTGAAGTTCAAGAAAGTATCCGACAACGAACTGTCCGACGAAGCTTTGATGGTCTCGGATGCCTGGTGCCGGCTTATGGCCCAGCTGTCGGCGCTGTCGCACACCCGTGCCTGAATGGTCACGGTGCATCCTGCTTCCCAGAGAAGCGTCAGCCACGCCTGGTCCTCGTGAGTCAACATGAAAGAAACTTCCAGGGCTCAAGTCTGCAGCTCGGCATGTGTGCGTTGTGAAAGCCACAGCTGCCTACATTGCCTGTGAACAGAACAGAGAATAATATAATAACTCTTCGATGCAGACGGAATTGCTGCAATTTAAATAGACACATGAACGACAAGACAACGAAATGAAACTTGACGTTATGCCGGCAAACAAAGACAAACAATGCAACATGACGAACTAGGCTAGAGTAGATCATCATAGAAGTGTTTAATATGAGCACCTCCCGAGTCATTTCTACGGCCAGTTCAAGGGAAAGAGTGGAGAACCAGCACCATGAACAAATAGTTGGAAAAACAACTGAGGGTTGTGCATTCTTCTTCAGAGCCTCGTAGAGGGCAAGGTACCAGCTCCACAGCACAAAGTGGCCGCCTGCCAGTGTCAAGGATGCCTCGAAAGGAGGCGTGGTCTGGCTCTTGGCATCCGCGACACCGACAACCATGAGGGTGCTTGGCCAAATGAGCCTCTCCTTGTCCTTCAGCTTCTTCGTCCCTCTTGTCACACTCGACTTCAGCACAGCGCTTCTCGAGAAGAAGGACTCCATGAACTTGTAGATGGTCGAGAGGGGGACATCGCCAGGGTCGTGGCACTGGAGCTTCGTCCTCTGCCCCGGGCCTGCATCGAATAGGCCGGTCTGCAGCCACAATCCCAGGCCGCTTGCCTCATAGATGCCGTTGCTGGCAAAGGAAGCTGCAGCTGCTTCGGCCTCCCATGGAGCCTGGCCATGGCAAGGCAAAGCACAACACTCGCAAAACCATGCAATGCTGCATGCCCTGGCTTAAAATTAAAACTACTGTGCAAGTTACGCAGGCAGCCACTCCGTTCCATAATCATAGGCCCCGGCCTTGTACGTCGTGATGTCCTTCTCCTTTGCTTGCATGCTTATTTCGAGCGGCTGCGTTTTGTGCATTTGCTTGGCCGCTGTGAGCTTCTTGGGCAGCAGCTTGCGAACCTGATATAGAGGCCAGCAGTGTTCAACAGTATGAGAATGCAGTCTGATTGGAAGCTGCTGCCAATAAACAACTTGACGTACAACGAAACTCAGGCCCCTTCCCAGGGCACGACGCTCGTCATGAATGTGACAGCAGAAGCCTCAGGGTCAATGCCATGCTGAAGGCGGTCAGCTCCCGACACCCGAAAGACATGAAAGCAGCTTAGTCCTGCACCTGCTGCTTGTCCTGTGGACACTCGGGCGCGGCATCTTCTGCCGCTGCCATGTCTTAAAATCTCTTTCCGAGGGAGCGCTCCCCCCAAAAACCCTTGAGCCCTGAGGCTGGGGCATAAATTGGTCGTAAGGACACAGCAGTGCAACGACATGTCGAGCGTGAACTCTGCACCACAAGCTTCAAGACTTCTGCCGCTCCTGACTCGAACTTCAGGCTAGTCTAGCTTCACAGCACAGTCATGAAATGCCATGTGGCATTCTCACAGGTACTGGACACTTAGACAGACTCCAACGAGGTCCCGACGGCGATTCGTCGAAGCACAGCCAGGCGGCCCGACACCCGACTGAGGAATTCTGCCTGGCAAAGGCCACCAGAGCTGCACTTCGCATGGAGAAGGCTGACAATCCATATTGAGGATCTGCTACTACAGGTGTCCCTGAGCCTCTATGAACAGAGTGCACAGCGGCATCGAGCTTTTGACTGGCTGCAACCGACAAATCATCATCTGGCAACGGATGCTGCTGTACCAAAATCAGAAAGGCACGGCCGTGGAAGTGTCCTTGAATGCCAGTAAGATTGAAACACTGATGGTTGCGTGGGCTGCTTCCTTCATAATGAGGTCATGCATGTTGCCAGCCTCCGATTTTTAATCCAAACTAGCACATCGACCCGATACTACCAAAACCGCAAGGCCTGATGCTATCCCCGACAGCGACAGCGACTTCTGGTTCTTGTCATTGTTACTGTTGAAGGAGGCAGACAGAAGTTTGCAAAGCCGCAAAGGGACGCCATATGATGATGATTCTGACTAGCCCTGATACTGAATCACTAAGACTAATGGGAATCGGAGAACCGAAGCCCTCATGCTGACCCTGACAATGTAAATCATTGCCGATACTCTGAGCAACACCGAACCCAAGTGGACCCCATAGGAGAGAGAGAGAGAGAGAGACAGACACTGGACAGACAAACAGAGACAGGGAACAGGATTCGTAGAAAACTTTGCAATGACGAGGCAACAAGTTCAAAAGAAATTCAGGGCCACGGAATCCAAAAGAAAAACGAAGAACAGGACAGCTTCAATAATGATAAAACATGCCCCATCGTCGGTAGTTTATTTTATTATATTATTAATTATTATTATAATCTGACTGACACATACAAGCTTATTCACATTAGCCCTCTTTCTTCAACAAGCATCGTTGACCCCTGGATGCTAAATTTGATCCTTCGGTGTTGAAGAACACCTGCAGATAGCACGGAAGGGTCGATTGTTGCACTCAAGGGTCGACGAGACAAGCAGGCAGACGGCAATGGAGGAGAAGCAACTTCAAAGGCAACATGGCTTGCCACTGCGTATGCGAGGAAAGTGATTACAGCAGGAATCACAGTTGGCATTTGCAGACTTGAACCCAAACATGCTCATATTACCCTTGGGTTCTTGACCTGCATGCAACGACGGAAAAAAGAGCAAGCAGAGAGGGGTCAATGGGCTTTAGTTGCAAGCTCGCCAGGTGAACGTAGACCAGATAACCATGCAATCTCTTCATGACGACAACGACCAAACTGCTGTATCCGATACTCTGATTCTGACTCTGATCTCAGCTCGTCAGTACCGTGGACCAGATAACCATGAAATTTCTTTAGAAACGACAACGACCAAATGTTGCTGTCTCCGATACTCTGATTCTCTGATCTCAGCTGGTCAGTACAAACCGAACTGGACAGTGCATGATCAGATCAGTAGTAGAATGCAGAATAGTTACGTCAGGCTTGGTTCTGGCATTGCCGCTGTGCAAGCAGTAATAACACTCCTCAATCCATTTCTGACTCCCACAAAAACCACCCGACCATTCAGGCCCGATCCCATGCCAGCACGATGCCTTGTCATTGTCATTGTCTATCTGCATGTAGCACCTGTGAGTCGTGCCCGGGTGATTCCAGACGTCAGNNAGTCTTGCAAGCTTGGTTGAATTCAGGGTGTGTTTTATTTCTTTAAGCCCTGGGCTCCAGCATGGGCCTTCTAGAGTAGTAAGTCTACCGGCTGGCCTGTGGTGGCACGAATCATTTACTAGTTTAAAGACCCCAAAGCTAACTAAATGTAAATTTAAACTTAGTTAGGGCTCGGGTCTAAACTTAAACCAACAAGCGTGTCGGCTGACCTGGCCGCCGCAGCCGCTGCGCAGACGCTGGCATGTGGGCGAGGAGGGTTGGGGCTAAGACCCCAAGCAGGTGGGCAATTAAATTTAATTTCTTCGGAAAACACTAGGGTGAGGTGCTTAGTCCGTGCCACCACTTGTCCTAGTCCAGCCATGAATCTAGTACTACCACGTCACAATTAATTTAAACTTAAAGTGTTTATTTTACCATTAACTTATTATATTATGGTGGGAATGGCTTAAGGGGACCGGGTCAAGGTCTCGGTCACGTCCTTCTCGTCGCTGTAGTCTGACTCTGTTCTGCCGCTTTCGAACTGGCAGGAGTCTGGGCAATGGCTCAGCATTCCTCGGCTGCCCCTCTTCGGCCGGAGCCCTCGTGAAGAAGCTGTGCTGGCTTGCAGCAGTCTGGCAACTGGTACCGGTGTTG